AAAAAACAAGAAAACAAAAAAACAAAAAACAAAGCAAAAAAAATGTAGAAACGTTTCGTCTCTCATCCAAGAGACTTCCTCAGTCTGAGGTGCTGTATTCAGCTCAGTCTCTTAAATAGCACCTTCTCAGAGTGGATCAACAAGTTTGCTGCTGACAACCAAAACCAACTGCTCACATGTTCAAGAAGGACCATCAGCCTAACAATGGATCATTAGCACACTGATGGCTAACACTGCTTGGGCCTTCCTGAAAGCAGAGAAGAAACCCAAACAGGACTCCAGTCAGCCAACAGGTGAAAAGGAGAAACCCAGACCCAGACCAGTGGTCATTCCGTATGTTGAGGGAGTATCAGAGAAACTGAGACGTTTATTTTCTAAACATAACGTCCCAGTGGCTTTTAAACCCCAAAATACATTACGGCAAAGACTGGTTCATCCCAAAGATCCAGTCCCCCGGCACAAACAGAGTAATGTTGTGTATGCTGTTCAGTGTCAGGAGGGCTGTGATCAGTCTTACATCGGGGAAACTAAACAGCCACTGGCCAAAAGGATGGCCCAGCACAGAAGATCAACATCATCAGGCCAGGATTCTGCGGTCTACACTCATCTCCAGGCCAGCAGTCACTCTTTCAGGGATGAAGATGTTCACATCCTGGACAGAGACGAACGATGGTTTGAGAGAGGAGTAAAAGAGGCCATCTTTGTGAAAAGAAATCGTCCATCATTAAACAAGGGTAGAGGCCTCCGGGTTCAACTGTCCCCCTCTTACAATGCTGTGATTGCTAGTATCACTCAACCCCCTGTGAATAGTAAACAGCCATCAGTGTGCTAATGATCCATTGTTAGGCTGATGGTCCTTCTTGACCATGTAAGCAGCTGGTTTTGGTTGTCAGCAGCAAACTGGTTGATCCACTCTGAAAAGGTGCTATTTAAAAGACTGAGCTGAATACAGCACCTCAGACTGAGGAAGTCTCTTGGATGAGAGACGAAACGTTTCTACATTTTTTTTTGCTTTGTTTTTTGTTTTCTTGTTTTTTGAATGTCCAGAGGACCAGATTTGCTATCTACTATTGTTTCGGTCAATCATCTACTCCTGAAGCCATCTGTAGTGCACACACATGTTTTCACACCTCTGCAGGGGTCACCCAAACTCTCCACTCTATGAGACCTGGATTCAAAATCTTTTGTTTCAGAGAAAACAAGGGCTGTTGTTGGGCACAGTTATGGCTGAACTGCAGCGGAAAAGCTATGGTTTTACCCACAACCTGACCCAACTGTGCAACACAAACTGTCAGGTGATGAGGATAATATGCTTCAATTGTTTATTGTCTGACACTTGCCATGTCCATTAGATGTAAGGTTAGGTTTCACACAAAATGTATCAATGATTTTGAGGGTTTGACAAAAATAAAATTAGACTTGTTTTACAATAGTGCATCACCCCAACATCAAAATGTATAAACTAAACAAATGTGGCCCAGCTATGGTTCACTTCTGATCTTTATTTTTTTAATATCTGTTTAATATTTGTTCTGTTTGTTCTAATGAATGACTCCGACAAGCTGTGTACCTTTCATCATCTTCTGCATGTCCTCCAGCATTAGAAGTGCTCTGCAGTGACGGCAAACTCTCTGAAACTCCCTCGTCCATTGACCCTTAGAAGAGGAAGAAAAAAATACTAATTATGTTTTAAGTTTGAAAATAAAATCCTAAATAATTTAGTTTTAAATTAGGCTTGGTTGATACAGTTTATGCCTTTGATGTCTTTATTATGATTTGATACTCTTGAATATCAAAACTGTAATCAACTAAAAAATTAGGGGAAGGGGGAATAATATATTTTTGACCTTTTTTATTTCAGCAAGAAAAAAGTTTTTCAAAAAGACAAAAAGAAAACAGAACTTCCCACTAAACCCAATAAAAAATAAAAATGAGTTGGTGGGTGTCTTAGAATAGACTAAGGCAGATCTGACTGGAGGATTTCTGGCAAAATCTCACTAGGCTGTGACTATTGGTGAACTACTGTACTAGTGAGCAACTAGTTAGTGAACTGACAGCACAAAGGAATCTCCAAAATGTCTCTTGGTTTTTAAAGGGATTCTTATCTTACATGAGTTGCAGAGGCTCATACTCTTGTTGCCGAAAATTTAAACATATTAAAAAATGTCCAAGAACTACAGGGGAATTAAGTTGATGAGCCACACGATGAAGATCTGGGAGAGAGTTGTGGAAGCAAGACTTAGATGAAAGGTGACTGTGAGCAGCAGTATGGTTTCATGCCAAGAAAGAGCACCACAGATGCCATCTTTGCTTTGAAGATGCTGATGGAGAAGTTCAGAGAGGACTCCATTGTGTCTTTGTGGATTTAGAAAAAGCATCTGACAGAGTGCCAAGAGAGGAGGTGTGGTATTGCATGAAGAAATCTGGAGTGGCAGAGAAGCATGTTAGACCGGTACAGGACATGTATGAGGACAGCAGGACAGTGGTGAGATGTGCTGTAGGAAAGACAGATAGCTTCAGGGTGGAGGTGGAATTGTATCAAGGATCGACTCTGAGCCCCTTCTTGTTTGCTCTGGTGATGGACCGACTAACAGATGAGGTCATGCAAGAATCCCCATGGACTATGATGTTTACAGATTACATTGTGATCTGTGGTGACAACAGGGAACAGGTGGAAGAAAACTTGGAAAGGTGGAGGTATGCACTTGAAAGAAGAGGAAAGAAAGCCAGCCCTAGTAAGACAAGCATGCGTGTGAATGAGAAGGAGACCAGTGGAACAGTGAAGCTACAAGGAGCAGAGGTCACAAAGGTGCAGGACTTCAAGTACTTGGGGTCCACTGTCCAGGAAAATGGAGAGTGTGGTAAAGAGGTGAAGAAGAGAGTCCAGGCAGGATGGAGTAGATGGAGAAAAGTTCTATTTAGTATAGGCTTCGCCCTTTAAGGCTATCGCTAGTGGGTTTATCCCGTTGTGAGCAGCGCAGCACTGAAAACTTTAGTCCACGCCCACCTGCTGTGTGGGTCTCACTCCCGGTCCGTATAAATTACGTTGAGACCGGGTAATCGGCTCTCATTTTTTCTTCAGCAAGCAATCAGCACTGCTTTTACAAGAACACAATGTCCAGCACCATCCGCCTGTGCCCGTCCTGCAAGACCAGCTACATGCTGAGTTTCGACCAGCACGACATCTGTGAAGGAGGATGGGTCCCCGTCACGCCGACCTCGCCTCCTCCTGCTGTTTCTGTGACCTCCACTCTCCTGAGGAGAGGCACATTTTCGAAATGCGTGGCTACACAGAGCAGGAATGAGAATTCTTTTTTATCTGGATGATCTGTTGCTGTTAACTCGATCCATGCAGGAAGCAGCTGCGCAAACCAAAGCACTGACGTCACACCTGCTAAACCTGGGTTTCGCCATAAACTGGGAGAAGAGTTCGGTTCTCCCGGCCCATATGATCGTTTATCTGGGAGTGGAGCTAAATTCAGTCACTATGAGAGCCTGCTTATCACAGCCGAGAGCCGAAGCTCTGAAAGGCCAGCTCCGCCGCGTAAAACTCAGCAGAGTAGTAACGGCCGTCTCGATCATGAAACTTTTGGGTACGATGTCCTCAGCTCATGCTGTGGTTCCGCTGGGCTTACTCCACATGAGACGCCTTCAGAGATGGTTTGCCCGCCTGCGCATAGATCCGGTGCGTCAGAAGAGGCAGATGATCTCTGTGGGAACTGACCTGAATCACTGGGGAAACCTTCTCACTCTGTCAGAGGGAGTTCCTATCAGCAGGCCTACATCACACGTCTCGGTTTTCACAGACGCATTCCTGTCAGGCTGGGGAGGAACGTGCCTGTCTCAGGCGGTGGGGGCGCTGTGGCCACCTCACACATCAGCTCATATAAACATTTTGGAATGTCTCACAGTTTGGAATGTGATTCAGCATTTTGCTCCCCTGCAGTGGAATCAACATGTTCTAATCCACACAGACAACAAAGTGACTGCAGCTTACATAAACCGGCAGGGTGCATGCACTCAGCCAAACTGTTACGCATTGCGAGACAGCTGTTGTGTTGGGCACACAAAAATCTGCTCTCCATCAGAGCAGTGTACATCCCCGGCATCCTGAACAGAGGAGTGAACATAATGTCGAGGGGCGGTCCTTGCCAAGGAGACTGGAGCCTCCATCCCAAGCTGATTTCTTGGATTTGGAACAGGTTCGGCCGAGCAGCAGTGGATCTGTTCGTCACACGGGAGAACACCCAGTGTCAATTATGGTTCTCACTGAGCCCAAGGGACGACCCACCATTAGGAGTGGACGCTTTTGCCCACAGCCCATGGCCAAAAATGCTCCTTTACGCGTTTCCTCCAGTCCCTCTAATATCACGGTTTCTGAACCAAGTCTGGGAGGAAGAACTGTCAGCCATTCTTGTAGCCTCAGAGCGTGTCAGCACCCCGTGGTTCCCAAACCTGCAACGTCTGTTATCGGGTCGACCGTGGAAACTGTTGTGGAGGGACGATGCTCTCCTCCAGGCGGGGGGAGCTATCAGGAGTCACCCAGAAATAGGCCAGCACCTTTGGGTCTGGCCGCTGAGTGGATCTGCTTAGAGAAGATGGGTCTCTCTCAGGAAGTGATGCGCATGATCCAAGACTCACGAGCCGCTTCCACCACAGTGCTGTACACATCAAAGTGAACAGCTTTTCAGCGCTGGTGCATGGAGAGAAGTGTAGAGGCCATCTCATGTCCACTAGGTGGCGTTCTGTCCTTTCTGCGGCAGCTGATGGACAGAAATTTAGCTTTCAGCAATTAAAATTTATGCTGCAGCTATTTCTTCGTATCACAAAGGCTTCGGTGACAGAACAGTTTTTAATCACCCGCTGACGAAGCGTTTCCTAAAAGGTGTACGGAGACACAGACCAGTGTCACGCCCACTAGCTCCACATTGGGACCTAACGATGGTTCTGCGAGCTCTGATCAAAGCTTCTTTTGAACCTTTAGATCAGGTGTCACTTAAATTCCTGTCACTTAAAACAGCCCTGCTGTTGGCTTTGACATCAGCAAAGAGAGTGAGCGATTTAGCTGCGCTCTCTGCTGACCCATCATGCCTCAGGATTCAAGCTGATGGCAGCTCAGCTGCGCTGAGACCTAACCCAGCCTTCATACCCAAAAACATCACAAGTTAATTTAAATCGAGAATGATAACATTGGAGTGGTTTTACGCTCCCCCCCCCCCCCCCCCCCACACACACACACACAAATCAGAGGAAGAAGCATCTTTTCATCTCCTCTGTCCTGTGCGTGCGCTGGCATGTTGCATAGCACGCACGGCTCCTCTGCGGCAGACTCAGCGTCCGTTTGTGCATTATAGGGACGTATCTGCAGGTCACCCGCTATCTGCTCAGCGCCTTTCACACTGCCTGTGTGAGGCCATTTCTGAAGCTTACAGGGCATCAGGATTGGAGCCTCCAGAGAACCTCAGAGTTCACTCCACCAGATGAATTGCATCTTCTACAGCTTTGCATGGAGGGAAGACAGTGGAGGACATTTGTATGGCGGCCACTTGGACATCGCCTTGTTCATTTATTCGCTTCTATCTGCGTGATGTTTCGGCTTTCTCCATGACCCATTCTGTTCTTAGTGTTCTAACAGAATGAATCTTACCGTTTTCATGGAATTTCGTTTTAAACTCACATCTGTCTGCATGCAATTACAGTGTGAGATATTTATTATCAGTCACAAGTTTGTGACTGCTGTTTTTATTGTTACTAATCAGTTCATGACTACTGTTACCAATCAGTTCATTTGATTACTAATTAGTTCATTTGTTACTAATCAGATCATATTGAAGAGCTGTTGACCAGCTCTGCTCACTGTTCCACGGTTACAATTTGTAACCTCTGTTCTTTTCCATTCTCTGCAGCAGGACTGCTTTTAGCCTTCCCTTTTTTCCTCGTAGGAAACCTTTTTCTCTCAGGGGCGCTCCTTTGCATGGTACGCGTAATTACGCGCTGCATAATTACGCATACAGAAGGCTGAGTGATGAAATTTTTTTTTGTGCAAGTGGGCGCTTCATATTGTGTCTGAATGGACGCAGTGAATCATACACTATATCATGCTTCGCCTTTAAGCCACTAGCGATAGCCTTAAAGGGCGAAGCCTATATGAAATAGAACTTATTTACGTACTGTAACCCCAGATTCTATGAGTATAGGCGCAGCCCTTGAAGCTCTGGGCCTCACTGGTTCCTAAATGGCTGAAGAAAAAAGCTATTTGGGAGCCGATTACCCAGTCTCACCGTAATTTATACGGACCGGGGTTGAGGCCCACACAGCAGGTGGGTGTGGACTAAAGTTTTCAGTGCTGGACGACGGGATGAACCCACTAGCAATAGCCTTAAAGGGCTGCACCTATACTCATGGAATCTGGGGTTACAGTACGTAACCAACATTTTAGGAGTGATTTGTGACAAAAAGGTGTCGGCAAAAGTCAAAGGAAAAGTTTACAAGACAGTGGTGAGACCAGCTATGTTGTATAGTCTGGAGACCGAGACATGGACAAAAAGACAGGAGACAGAACTGGAAGTAGCAGAAATGAAGATGTTGGGGTTCTCCTTAGGAGTGACAAGGATGGATAAGATTAGCAATGAGATCATCAGAAGTACAGCACAGGTTGAACAACTGAGAGATAAAATTAGAGAGGCCAGACTGAGAAGGTTTGGACGTGTCTGGAGGGACCATAGGTATATTGGTAGGAGGATGTTAGAAATGTAGCTGCCAGGAAAAAGACAAAGAGGAGATATATGGATGCAATTAGAGAGGACATGGAGGTAGCTGGAGTGAGGACAGACGACACGGAGGACAGAGAGAGATGGAGAAGGATGACTCGCTGTGGCGACCCCTGAAGAGGGAAAAGCTGAAAGTAGAAGACATTATTTAAATTTGAGTATATTTAAGGTGTCCATTAGTTCCCAACTGTTGCAGCCTGGTGAGAAATTATCTTAACCAAGGAACTTTCAATATGTTTGAGTGTCTCCTTTTGTGTATGTTTTTTTCTTCTTCTTCTTTTTAAGGAGTAAAACACTAAAACAACATTAGACAGTCAGGTGTTGAAAATACTGTTAAGACAAGGATCATAGTCTCACCTATAGATGAAGACTGTGGACTGATAAGAAGTTCCTCCTGGACCTGCTCACTCCCTGGTACTGTTTGCTGGTCACTCAGGGAGCTTTGAGAGGCACTGACCGGCTGTGATGATGCTTCTTGGACCTCCTCATCACTAAGACGCTCCACTTTCACTCTCACGTCTTCTTCTTCAGTTGCCACTGGTGAGGACACCGTCTTAGAGCTCTCACAGGTTAGAAATTCGCTAAGCCTACGAGCAACCGTCCCATCTGATGTCCCTGGGGCACCCTGCTCTAAGCAACGAGGGCTCTCCGGCAGCTTTGATTTGTCTGAGTGGAATCTTCGGTCGATGCCAAATGGGAAAGTCCAGGGAAAAGCCAAAGAGGACTCAACAGGCTGGGCTGGGCCATCTGAGAATGATGGGGATGGATTAGGAATCTGAGGTGAGGTGGTGACCATCTGTGTAGTGCATTTGAGTGGACTCTCCGGCGACGCCATTGTTACAAAGCTTTTACGTTTCCGCCGTGACTCGCGGCAAATGGGAACGTTTCTCTCCATCATGCTGCATTCAGATGACACAGGTGACACGCTGCCATCCAACGGCGTTAGGGCACAGTTTGATGAAGCACTCTCTGGTGCTGCCTCATGGGGTTTGTCTGCTGTTGCATTGTTGTTGCTGATGTTTGTGGAGCTCCAGAGAATACTGGATTTCATGAATTCTGAGCATGTGCTAGCAACTGTAAACATCTGCATGTAACTTGCAGCTGCCAGGACATCAATGATGTTCTCTGTGCTGATTGAAAGGGTAGAGGTGTAAGCATATTCCAAAAGAGGGGCAAAACCACTAACTGTCACATGATGGAGGTCCAACACAAACTTTTCCTCCTCCTCTGATCGGCCTAAGAGTTTGGAACGGAAGAATTCACTGCAGCAGGCCAGGACCACTTTGTGTGCTAGGAAGAGCTTGTCTTGAACCCGGATGGTAACGTCACATAAATGACCTTCATTACGCAAAGCATTCAGCTTCTCAAGCATCTCTTGGCTGTGTGAGGTTGAGCTGTGGGTGAAGGTTTTAACCCCCATCTTGGAGTCCTGCTATGAGTAGAAAGTGTCCTGTAGGGAAAACCAAAACATTTTAGACATCAAAAATTCACGCTCAAATCTCAAGGGACGGAAATACTTTTTAAATAATAATACAGTAGTCTCTCACAACTTCGCAGTTCTTTTATCGCGGACTCGCTCTATCGTGGATTTTCAAAGTAAGATTGGACATGACACACAAGTGGCTGATTGATGGATGAGCCGCATGATCTGAATGGAATTTTTATTTAAAATAAAGTATTTTAAATGATTTAGCATATGTGTGCAGCACACAGCTGTGGGAAAACTTCCTCATGCAGCTGATCTCCGTGCAGAGCAGAGAAGTGGGCAAGGCCTAGAGTGCAGCCATTGGCAGAGAGCTTAAATCATGACATTCTGTGCTGTTTTAAAGCATTTACAGTTAAGAAACATTGCTTAGAATATTGCAAGAGTGTGGGAAGGGATTAAAATGTCTTTATACACAAACATATATATACATATATACATACATACACATATATATACATATATACATACATACACATATATATACATATATCCATACATACACATATATAT